TAAGGCTTATGTTAACACAATCAAATGGGTTCATGAAAAGGTCTGTAATCTGACCTTTTCAATGGAATTGGTAGCTCTGGAGTATCAGAACCGAGAACAGTGAGTGACACATAAATTCATCACCAACAACTCTGTAGGAAGGAAACCTGGGTGGAATTTGGCACTGAGTATGTGTTTCTGTTCCAGAAGGAAATCTACAGAGAAGGTCTGCTGAAATGACTGGATGGAGCTTTTGTCTAATTTAAAAAGGAAAGACTCTGTGGTTCTTCAGACAAGAGTGAAACACTGGATTTGTGATATCTAGATTGAATTCACCTAGTTCTGGTTTCCACGCTATAAAGGAAAAGATGAGGAAGACACACTGGCTGACAATGACAGGGCTCTGTGTCCCTGCTCCTTCCTGTTCTCTGCCACTGAGGGACGGGGCTGACGGATATTACAGGAGATCCCAGTGACCCCTGGCATGACCGAATGTCAGTTTTCAGTTCTTTTCAGCAGCTCAGCTGTGTCCGAATCTTTACAACCCCATGGACTGTAGCATGCCAGTCTTCCCTGTCCATCACCTACTCCTGGAGCTTACTCAAACTCATGTCCATTGAGTCGGTGATACCATCCAACCTTCTCATCCTCTGTCATCCCCTTCTCCTCCCACCTTCAATCTTTCCCAGCATCAGGGTCTTTTCCAAGGAGTCAGTTCTTCCCATCAGGTGGCCAAAGTATTGGAGTTTCAGCTTCAGCATCAGTCCTTCCAATGAATATTCAGGACTGATTTCCTTTAGGATGGACTGNAATACAGCAGAAGTAGATGTTTGTCTGAAATTCTCTTGCTTTTTCTATGATCCAATGGATATTGGCAATTTGATCTCTGGTTCTTCTGCCTTTTCTAAATCCAGCTTGAACATCTGGAAGTTCACGGTTCACGTCCTGTTGAAGCCTAACTTGGAGAATTTTGAGCATCACTTTGCTAGCATGTGAGATGAGTGCAATTGTGCAGTAGTTTGAACATTCTTTGGCATTGCCCTTCTTTAGGCTGGAATGAAAACTGACCTTTTCCAGTCCTGTGTCCACTGCTGAGTTTTCCAAATTTGTTGACATATTGAGTGCAGCACTTTCACAGCATCATCTTTTAGGATTTGAAATAGCTCAACTGAAATTCCATCACCTCCACTAGCTTTGTTTATAGTGATGCTTCCTAAGGCCCACTTGACTTCACATTCCAGGATGTCTGGCTCTAGGTGAGTGATCACACCATCATGGTTATCTGGGTGTGAAGATCTTTTTTGTACAGTTCTTCTGTGTATGTTTGCCACCTCTTAATATCTTCTGCTTCTGTTAGGTCTATACCATTTCTGTCCTTAATTGTGCTCATCTTTGTATGAAATGTCCCCTTGGTATCTCTAATTTTCGTGAAGAGATCTCTAGTCTTTCCCATTCTATTGTTTTCCTCTATTTCTTTGCATTGGTCACTGAGGAAGGCTTTCTCATCTCTCCTTGCTCTTCTTTGGAACTCTGCATTCAAATGGGTCTGTCTTTCGCTTCTCCTTTGCCTTTCACTTCTCTTCTTTTCACAGCTACTTGTAAGGCCTCCTCAGACAGCCATTTTGTCTTTTTGCATTTCTTTTCCTTGGGGATGGTCTCGATCCCTGTCTCCTGTACAATGTCACAAACCTCTGTCCATAGTTCTTCAGGCATTCTGTCTACCAGATCTAATCCCTTGAATCTATTTGTCACTTCCACTGTATAATCGTAAGGGATTTGATTTAGGTCATACCTGAATGGTCTAGTGGGTTTCCCTACTTTCTTCAATTTAAGTCTGAATTTGGCAATAAGGAGTTCATGATATGAACCACAGTCAGCTCCCAGTCTTGTTTTCGCTGGCTGTATAGAACTTCTCCATCTTTGGCTACAAAGAATATAATCGGTCTGATTTCAGTATTGACCATCTGGTGATGTCCATGTGTAGTGTCTTCTCTTGTTGTTGGAAGAGGGTGTTTGCTATGACCAGAGCATTCTCTTGACAAAGTTCTGTCAGCCTTTTCCCTGCTTCGTTTTGTACTCCAAGGCCAAATTTGCCTGTTACTCCAGGTGTTTCTTGACTTCCTACTTTTGCATTCTAGTCCCCTATGATGAAAAGGACATCTTTTTTGGGTGTTAGTTCTAGAAGGTCTTGTAGGTCTTCATAGAACCATTCAACTTCAGCTTCTTCAGCATTACTGGTCAGGGCATAGACTTAGATTACTGTGATATTGAATGGTTTGCCTTGGAAACGAACAGAGATCATTCTGTTGTTTTTGAGATTGCCTCCAAGTACTGCCTTTCGGACTCTTTTGCTGACTATGAGGGCTACTCCATTTCTTCTAAGGGATTCTTGCCCACAGTAGTAGACATAATGGTTGTCTGAGTTAAATTCACCCATTCCAGTTCATTTTAGTTTGCTGATTCCTAAAATGTCGATGTTCACTCTTGCCATCTCCTGTTTGGCCACTTCCAATTTGCCTTGATTCATGGACCTAACATTCCAGGTTCCTATGCAACATTGTTCTTGATAGCATTGGAATTTACTTCCATCATTGATCACATCTACAACTGGGTGTTTTTGTTTTGGCTCTGTCTCTTCTTTCTTTTCAGAGTTATTTCTCCACTGTTTTCCAGTAGCATGTTGGGTATCTACTGACCTGGGGACTTCATCATTCAGTGTCCTATCTTTTTGCCTTTTCATACTGTTCATGGGGTTCTCAAGGCAAGAATATGGAAGTGGTTTGCCGTTCCCTTCTCCAGTGGACCACATTTTGTCAGAACTTTCCACCATGACCCATCCATCTTGGGTGGCCCTACATGTCATGGCTTATAGTTTCATTGAGTTAGACAAGGCTGTGGTCCATGTGATCAGTTTGGTTAGTTTTCTGTGATTATGGTTTTCATTCTGTTGGCCCTCGGATGGATAAGAGGCTAATGGAAACTTCCTGATGGGAGAGATTGACTGTGGGGGAAACTGTGTCTTGTTCTGATGGGTGGGGTTATGCTCAGTAATTCTTTAATCCAATTTTCTGTTGATGGGCAGGGCTGAATGTCAGTTTATCTCCCTCCAAAGAGCAGATGTGAAAAATCATTGGTCTCATTAATCTTCATACCCATGGAGGATCTTAGGTTCCCTACCCAGGGATCGAACCTGTGTCCCATGCACTGAGAGCATGGAGTCTTAACCACTGGACCAGCAAGGAAGTCCACTGGGCTTATCATTCTTAAGCAAGTCACGCCAAAGTCCCTGGCTTTTTCCTGAAGAAGAGTTTACACATATATATTTCTGTTTAGCCTATTCGTGAATAATATAGCTTGCTTGCTCTTTTTTGGTATGTAGGCCCAATTAAATATATGTCCTTTTGTATCCCAAATTAAGCAAAAGAAAGTTGTATTTCACCATGGGCCTACAATTTGGCCACAGGGGCAGTAATAAAAAATGGTAGGAGCAAACGCCATCTGCCACACTGGCTAGCCACTGGTCCCTATAGGAAGGAGTCACAGCTGGCATAGACATCCCTTCTGATATCCCAACCCTGAAATGGTCTGAGACCAAGACAGGTTCACATGACTCCTTTAAGTTGGAGTCAGGGTGGGTAATAATTGGATATTACTTAGCATCACATTTGATAGGAAATTAAAAGTACCTCAAAGCCTTTAAACAGTCTCTGCTCTGTCTCATGTCATGGAATTTGTGCTTTATTGTCATCAAAAGAATCAGTGCACAGAAGTGCATCCTGCATCACTTGTCTGAGTGCTTGCTCAGTTGTTTCAGTCACGTCTGATTCTTTGCAACCCCACGGACTGTAGCCCACCAGGCTCTTCTGACCATGGAATTCTCCAGGCAAGAATACTGGAGTGGGTTGCCATGCCCTCCTCCGGGGATCACTGCCTAATTATCAAGTAATTCTTTTATTTCCAAGCTGCTCTGTGACTTAGTGATAAAGCCTGTTATCTAGAATAATGATCCATTCTGCAGGAGAAAATGACAGTGACATATGACTGCAAGACAGAGAGGACAGTGACAGGTTTGACTCCAGTTTGTTTAAACAAAGGCATTTCCCAGAGAGTTTGGAGTATTCCTGATGTTGTGAATTCTATGAGATTTTACCTTTCTTTACATTTTTTTGTTCAACGAGTGAACTTGAGGAATCAAGGAATATACCATGGCCATGCATACACACTGATAAACACACGGAGGTGATCTAGCAAACAGTGCCATTTGTAGGATGACATGCTTGATGCTGGTTCGAAGCTAGCTCTGAATGTGTGGATATGAAAGAACCCGAATTTCGGGGAAGGCTACCCTCCACCAGTTTTACCCAAATGCAGTCTTCAAAGTAATCAAGAAAAGTCAAGGGTTGCTGACTTCTCTTGATGTCCATTCCCTTCTATTTGAATAGAGATCCTAACATAACAGGGCTTCCCTGATGGCTCAATGGTAAAGAATCTGCCTGTGACACAGGAGATATGGGTTTGACCCCTGGGTCAGGAAGATACCTTGGAGGAGGGCATGGCAACCCACTCCAGTATTCCTGCTTGGAGAATCCCATGGAAAGAGGAGCCTGGTGGCCTATAGTCCAAGCCAGACATGACTGAGCACAGCATGAACCTAAACTAACAGACTGAAGTGCTTTTCCTCGGGTAAATATCTACCTTGGCTGTCCTACCCCTGGGATTCTCACCCAGCCCCCCTGGACCCATGGTTCACTCTCTCATAATGTGACTATGAACCTTTGCTTTGTGATCAGCATATCTCATGACTTCTTTCAGTGTCAGTTTGTGCTTTTTTTCTGTGACTGGTAAAGATAAATTCCTCTTATCTTCCTCAAATCAGGTACCAAAGGAGAAAGTCTGTGGGATTCTTCCCCCAGTTTGGTCGTTGCATCTCTCTCACTTTGGCAATGACCATCACCATGGGACCTGGTGCTTGGCCAGGCACGTGAAGGGACACCCACTGCTCTATTCTTGTCTCACTCCACCTTTTGCTGTGTCTGTCTTGATCTGCTCCTCAAGATCCTCTGGAGACACGTAGAAGTCCTCTTGTGGCATCGATGACTTAGTCCAGCAGCGTCCACAGCAGCAGTTGCAACAGCAGCACAGACAGCAGCAAAAATAGCAGCCGGTCAAGAGGCCGATGACGACAAACAGAGTCTAGAGGAAAGAGCGGCAAGGCAAAACAGGGGTGAGGGGTACAGGGGTGTAAGAGATCCCGTAATCAAGTGTTTTGCCCGTGTACCTCCAGAGACCTGGAGGCATCACAGTTCTCATCTCACAAACTGCATATTCACCCTCATTCCTTATTCCGTGGAGGACTATCTTTTCTGTTTCCTAGGAAACAAATTTCTCATAAAGTTTTGCCTAACAAGCCAGGAACAAGTGACTTGCAGTCAAAGTCATGAGGTATGACATTTTCTTCTTTTTCTTAAGTCACGGTGATCATTATTAACAGCAAAGCAAACAAAACAAACCAGAAAACATACCCCGTACAGGTCAGATGAGCTGACCACAGGCACTGAACCACTCTCACCAAAGAAGAGCCATGGATAGCCAGCCCTGCCGCCACCTTATTCTCTCGGTCACCAAGTCCAGCAGACCTCCTCGGGACCTTTGTCCCGCACCCCCCCCCCCAACCATCTGTATCCTGAGTGGTAGGGCTTTAGAACAGAGCCCTTTATCCTGAAAGGCTACCCACTCCAGTATTCTGGCCTGGAGAATTCCATGGACTGTATAGTCCATGGGGTTGCAAAAAGTCAGAAACAACTGAGCGACTTTCACTTTCCCTTATCTCTGCTCTGGACACTTCAGTAGCCTCAAAACTGACCTACCTGTGGCCACTCTTGCCTCTAACCCAGTCTGCACATTGCTGCTGGAATTTTCTGACATGCGTGTTCTCGTGAACCCATGCAGCAACTCTACTTGCCTTTTAGAAGAGGCTGGAGCTCCTTATTGGTGGTCATCTGGCCTCTCCCAGTGCCTCCTCTGCACCAGCGTGGCTCCCCTCCTGCCGTATTTGCCGTAGTTCTGCTCTCCCTGTGGACTCATCTGCCTGGACATCCCCTGCCCCTCCCCCTAGTCATCGAACAGATACCACTCTGTGTGTAAGTTTATCTCAGCAATCCTCTCCAACATCTTTCCGGAAAGCTCATCTCCCCCAGAACAATTGCCCCTGGAGAAGGGCATGGCACACCAGTCCAGTACTCTTGCCTGGAGAATCCCATGGACAGAGGAGCCTGGCGGGCTACATCCATGGGGTCACAAAGAGTCGGACACGACCGAAGTGAACTTAGCACTCATGCACCAGAACAGTTACTCCCTCTGTGCCCCAACCACACTCCATACAGATGTCCGCCATAGTCTTGTTCTGTTGACAAGACAGAACTTTTCAGTTATTCTGAAAAGTTTAACAGTGATCAGTTTATAATTCTGTCTCAGACCATGAGCCTCTTGAAGGCTAGAACTATATATTAGTCATCTTTCAACCCTTCTCTACCTCCAGGTTTAGTATTTGGTGTGTGGTAGACAAGAAATACCTACTGAATGAATGAATGTATTGATTGATTATTGATTAGTAGATAAACAAATGATTTTTTTCCTCCTAGTGCACAACACCAGGATTTCCCCACAAGCATATAAAAAGTTTCCTCACTAAACTCACCATAGCTAAAGATTAAAAGATTACACTCTCCTAATCTAATCTGCAGTGAAAACAAGGCCACCTTTGTTAACTGAGCAAAATAAGTTTACAATTTTATTAAAAATATGGTATTTGAAATTGGAAGTGATTTCATACACCCTCACACCTACAGTTTTTTTTGCTGTGAATTCTCTGCATTTTCATAGAGTTGTAAATTTCTTAAATTAGTCTGAAAAGTACAAAAAAGCTTCCTCCTCACCAACAGCCTCTAAGACCCTCCTGTGCAGTGTTCTAGAGCTGTTTCCCCAACATGCTACCCCCTTCTTTACCTACTCTTGTCCTTTTTTGCTTTTCCTATTCCATTCCCAAGTTTTTTCTCCTCTCTGAAAATTTCCTTTAATACATGTTTTGTTCTTTAGTTATTCCAGCTGGATTGCTTGCCTATTTTAGAAATAACCTTGCCTTATCCTCACAGAGCTTAGTGTAGTATAAGATACAAGTAGGTGTTCATTGTTTTTCAAATACACATTTTCAAATCAGTACACTGATTCATACATGGAGTGTGTACTTAAAACATGATCATCATGTGCTGGGGCACTCTGATGGATACTGTGCAATGATGCTTTGGCACAAGCAGAAGGGAAGGTAGATTGTTTTGTAGCCTTATTTTTAAAGAACCACATCAGGAATTGTTTTATGTATATCTCTTACACTGGTCTTCCCAAGTGGTGCTAGTAGTAAAGAACCTGCCTGCCACGGCAGGAGACATAAGCGATGGGGGTTCAGTCCCTGGGTTGGGGAGATTCCCCGGAGAAGGAAATGGTAACCCATTCCAGTATTCTTGCCTGGAGAATCCCATGGACAGAGGGGCCTGGCGGTTGCAAAAGGTTGGACAAGACTGAAGCAACTTAGCACATGTATCTCTTACACTACTTAACAGCTTCTGCTTAGCTCTATGAATTTTGATCAATTTTGTCAACTTTTGGACAAGGGAATCGATTCTCCTTTTTATGCAGGTAGACTCCAATATGCAATCAGGTACTAGTGTTTAATTATCTATAACTCTGGACATATCTTCCCATGGACATTATGTCATATCTGGAGGTTAGGTTCCCAGGTAAGCCCACAAAGACCTGTATTTTACATAAACATTCACTCTATCATCATAAATGACATTGATAATATTTACATTCTCATTCCAAGTTCCACATCCTCTTGGCAGAAATTTGTCTCCCTCCCAAGTCCTCAGTAGTAAAGAAAGGGGGTTTCAGTGGGAACCCCACTTATCCCCAAGAAAAGGAATTCTGAGGATTGCAGAAGGCAAAGGAGGCTTTAGGCTGCAGACTTGCTCTCCCCATGAAAGTGAAAGTGTTAGTCATTCAGTCATGTCTGACTCTTTGCTATCCCATGGACTATAGCCTGTCAGGCCCTTCTATCCATGGGATTCTCCAGGCAAGGATACTGGAGTGGGTTGCCATGCCCTTCTTCAGGGGATCTTCCTGACCCAGAGATAAAACCCAGGTATCTTGCATTGCAGGCAAATTCTTTACTGTCTGAGCCACCAGGGGTATCCTCTCTCATCCTGCATATGTACAACCACTCAATTTAGCAAGATTTATTTTTGTGGAAGAAGGTGGCAATCAGAGTACTACTGAACATGACTCCTGACTCTGGAGATCTGCAGCTTCTTAAATGATTTGTTACAACTCATGTGAATTGAGTTGTAACATGTGATTTCATGTTACATGGGAGCTCATGTGATTTCACAAGATGTATGAACCATAAACTTACTATATGTACACGAACTGTCCAAAAAAAGCTGCCAATGGCCTATACATATGATTCAAATGTAAATATACTGTAATCATAAGATAAGGATATGAATCTTCGTGTGTGTGTGTGCTCAGTTGTGTCTGACTCTTTGTGGCCCCAAGGACTGTAGCCCACCGGGCTCCTCTGTCCATGGAATTCTCCAGGCAAGAATACTGGGGTATTGGGTTGCCACTTCCTATTCCAGAGGATTTTCCTGGTCCAGGGATCAGACCCAGGGGTCAAATCCGGGTCTCCTCTGGCTCCTGCACTGGCAGGCAGATTCTTTACCACTAGCACCACTTGGGAAGCCTTGAATACTCATAAACAAATATGAAACTATCATCAAACATGCCTATCTGAGGAATTCCTAGGAAATCACACTACTGTCAAAAGTCAATTCTGATTGCACTAAGTCCTAACAATGCTGCCTTTCTCTTGACTAGATATCCTTTTTCTCCCTCTCTCTTCCTCTCTGTCTCTCCAACTCAGTGTCCTCCACTACTTAACTCTCACCTTTCCCCCTCATTTCCTTCTCCACTGCCCCACATCAGGCTTCACGTGAACCTATGACATGATTTCCATGCATTCTCCCTAGCATTGTGCTCCCTGATGTAGCCTGTGCTATAGATAGGAAAGTACATAGCTAAATTTGTCCCATAATAATTTTTAAACAGTTGTCACACTAATTAATTATTTTTGGTTTTTAGCAATGAGTCAGTTTTAATTAGTCATTATGGGAATAGGGAGGGCAGTCAGAATTAACCTGAAGCATCAAATTCAAACATAATTAATGTCTAGAAGTCTTTTAAGTCCTGCTGTATTTTATAATCACTTGGTAAGCTAAAGCAAAAATGATCCTTAAATACCATAACAGCTTTCAGCCAAAGTGATAGCTTTTTTATTAATAAGAGTTTAGTAATATACTAAGGTTAGGCTTTCTTTAGGATGGAGTCTAAAAGAGTGAATAATATCATGACCTTTCAGGAAATTTTTTTCAAGGGAAACAAAAAATCCAATTCACCTTTGCCCACCAGCTTGACAGCATGAAGTAGGTATTAACGTTTTCATCTCCAAATTGCTCAGCCACATAGAGTCCCAGTGATCCGTACTTGTCATAAATGTTTCTTTTTGACACGTCAGTAAGAATTGTATGGGCGTTGTTGATTTCCTTAAACTTTTCAGCAGCCCCTGGATCATCTGGATTCTTGTCTGGATGGTGTTTTAAGGCCAATTTTCTTTTAAAATTAAAAAGAAGTGAGGAAAAGTGTTATTCAACAGGAATTAGAATGATATTCTAGAAGGGCATTATTCATTTGTTCATCTTTTATACATGTAAATACCACGACATGATAAATTTCACAATAATACTGATTTAAACAAGGTTTCGTTGTCAATTTGTGTTTCTAATGTATAGGCTCAATGCTACTGTTTTCCCCCTCACATCCTCAAAGGAATTCTCCATAGCTGTGTAGTTGTTGAGTCTGAGAGATTTTGCTATTGGCAAATATGTGAAGTTTATTTTTGCCCGGAAGCTCATGTGTAGTCCACCTCAGCATGCAGAGGCCTTTAAGAGTTCCAGCAATAGGACCAGTTTACACCACAATTTCATTTAGAAGCACAAGACTTTTCCAGAATTAACAAAACATCACACCACATATTCTAAAAGTTAAACTCAGCTGTCAAAAAAAGAGATCTTACTCTGCTCAATGTCATGTGGCAGGCTGGACAGGAGGGGAGCTTGAGGGAGGACGGATACATGTTTATGTATGGCTCAGTCCCCTCATTGTCAACCTGAAACTATTCGCAGCATTGTTAATTGGCTATATGTCAATCCAAAAGAAAAAGTTTAAAAAAAAATCTCTCATTTATACACCCTTGAATAAATTCTATGACCCATTCACATTTTTTTTTTCACAAATCCTAACTCCCTTTTGTTTTTATGGGCAAACACTGTGACTTACCTTCTATTCAAATGTGTGTCTGACCTCTTTTCAAAGAGGTCTTCCCACTTGAAATAATCTGTAGAAGTTTTCTTGTGAGTCCAAGGCCTTCTGTCCTCTGTGGATCATAATGCAATTCCAGAAGGGTATGAATAAATGTTGTGTTGCTGTGTGTGTGTGTTGTGCGGAGGGGGGTGGTTTGTGAGTGTTCTTTATTCTTCAGTTATAATGAAGTATTAAAAGTGTAAAATGGATGTAAGAACTGATCTATGAGGCTCATAGCTATCAGAGAACAGAGCTATTAGGCTCTGGCTAGGGACTCTTTCCCCCTCCCTTCACAGACAGATTTAAATTGATAAAAGCCTTGTTCAATATTGAGTCTGTAGTGTTTTTCCTCTACAAAATCAATTAATTATATGACTCTCTATGGAAATTCCACGTGACTTACTCTCCCTATTGTACCCATAATATTTAATAGGTATATGTAGGAATGCATCTTAAGCTTTTGTTTATTTTATCAGTGTAGATTGAATTGTTTCACTTCAATGCATTAATAAAAGGCATAAGTAGAGCAAAAAAAATAAAGTGTATCTTATAAACCAATCTATACAATAAACAAAAAAACCCCAAACACCTATTTTAGGAATTAAAGCATTGCTGGTTAGAAAGTAGGTGAATGAATAAGCAATTTAGCATCAGGATGCTTAAAAAGCACCAAAATGTTTAAAAACATAAGTCATGGTGTGTAATAAATTCTAACTCTGAACTCAGAATAAACAAGAAGAATAAAACAAGGATGCATGCATTCATGCTAAGTCACTTCAGTCATGTTCGACTCTTTCTGACCCTATAGTTCATTTTAAATTTGTTTCATCAAACACATTTCATCCTTATTTTTTGAGAGATGTTTGGGGTAACTATAAATTCTTACTGGAGACATTTTTTATGTGCAGAATTTATGATAAAAATCTTCTGCTAATAGCACAAAAATGCCAATTTTGTCATTTAAAAAAAATTTATAATGTTTACTACATGCCAGCACTATTGTAAGCATGTTATAAATATTAATTCATTAATCTTCACCACAGTTCTATGAGATTAATATTATAGTAATCTCATTTTACAGGGAGGACATTTAGCCACTGAGATGAGAGGCTAAGTAACTTGCCCAACGTCATGTTTTTGTTGTTTAGTCCCTAAGTCCTGTCCAGTTATTTTGCATCCCCATGGGCTGTCCACGGGATTTTCCAGGCAAGAATACTGGAGTAGGTTGCCGTTTGCTTCAGCAGGTGATCTTCCTGACTCAGGGACTGAACCTGTAGCTCCTACACTGCAGGCAGGTTCGTTACTCCTGAGCCACCAGAGAAGCCCAGCATCATACAGCTAATAACCAGAGCCAGGCTTTGAATACAGGCAGTCTGACCCCGAGCACTGTGCTGCCTCCCACATATTCTTACATTTAAAAAGTAAGACATAGAAAATGTTAATAAGACATTTCAAGGACTTTGGCATTTGGTCGGGGTAATGTGGGAAGCCCCTGGAGTGTTTTTTTTTTTTTTCTTTCCCCCTGGAGTGTTTTGAGAAGAAAAGTGGTATGATCCAAATTTAAGTTTAGAAGAATCATTCAAGTCTTGGAGAGGACAAATGCAAAAAGCCGGAGACTCTTTCAGGGAAAGTTCATGGTGGTTTGGACCAGTGTGGTAGTGGATTAGTTAGAAGTGGTCAGATCCTGGATACACTGGAGGCTAGCTGATGGATTGGGTGTGGGATGTGAAAGGAAAAAGAAGAATCAAGGATAGCATCAAAGTTTCAGCTCAGGTAACTGGCAGTTTGGAGTTACAACTTAAAAAGTTGGCAAGAGATTTTTTTTTCAGTGGTAGAAAATGGTTTGCTAGGATTCAGAGTTCTATTTGAACACCTTCGAGATGCCTGTTAGACTTCCAAGTGTAATGGAGTAGAGATATATGAGCCTGGAGTTCAAATGGGAATTACTCTGGGGGATGTACATTTGGGAGTTCTCAGCAGGTAGATGGTATTTGGAGCCATGGAACTGGAAAAGAGTCCCAAGAGAGTTGGATCCAAGTTAAGTCCCAGGGCTGAGTTTTGGAAGGAAGAAACAAAAAACAGAAGAAGAAAGAAAGACCAATGGTACAGAAGGGAAAATTTGGAGAATATGGGATCTTGGGATCCAAGTGAACAAAGATTTCAAGGAAGAGAGTGGTCACTTGTGTCAAGTACCATTGACAGGTCATGTGCAATGACGACTGAGAAGTGATTGCTGGATTTCGTGATATAGAGATCTTTGGTGACCTTGATGTGTGCATGCACATATACACATTATACATGTACGCATGTACATATGCACACAGACTATTGTAAATATGCCTTTATATAGGGAAAATATAGCAGAAAAATAAGAGAAAAATGGAAGGTTATAACCACACTTAACTGGGATTATAAGTGATTCTTTTTTTGTTGTTGTTATAAAAAAATTATACATACTACTCATGTAGTTTCTTTCCCTAAGCATTTTTAAGCTCCGGCTAGAAAATTTTATGCTTTTTTAAGAGTTAAGAGTTTAGAGCTTGCTCTCTTAAATAACCCACTGCCAAATTAAAGTAGAGAGGAAGGAAGGAAGAAAGAAGTCCTCAAACTTCAATAATACAATAATCATTATCAAAAAGCTTCAAGTGGATTTTTGAAGCACATTCATTTTAATGGCTCAGTATTCCTGGAATTCTCACTCCATGCCCTGGAACACAATTGCAGCATTTCCCCTTGCCAGTTCCAGAGATTGTGTCCAGGACAACCAAATGCAAAGGCTATTATTTCTGCCCTAAAAGAAAAACACCTGGAAAATGTCTCTTTACATATACTTCTTATTTCTAGGGTTCAGTTGTAGACGGATGTCCACTGTCCAAGACTTAGCCAGTGGAGCCTATCATTTTAAGCTACTTGGATCTTTGTCAGCTTACAAGGGCAGAGGCACACAACCATTTATCACATTCCTCTAACAATGGAGTTGGCAAATTCAGAGGCTGGAGCACTTCCATCTGTAACAAATCCAATTCCTGGTCATCAGCAGCATTTGACTCCTCTTGGCAGATGCTCTTGGCTCTGAGGAATCCTCAGAAAGTATGGCTAACAGAGGCAGCTGCCAAAGTCACACAACTGCTCACACAATTGCCAAAGTCACACAGTCAAGTTAATCGATCAATGACTCACCTCCTTGGGTATTGTCCATACATCAGGAAAACACATATGGAAGTTAGAGTAAAAAGAGGGATGCTTGAAGTACATATAAATACGAAGTGAAGTGAGTAAGTCACTGAATCGTGCGGACTCTTTGCCACCCTGTGGACTATACAGTCCATGAAATTCTCTAGGCCAGAATACTGGAGTGGGTAGGCATTCCCTTCTCCAGGGGATCTTCCCAACCCAGAGATCAAACCCAGGTCTTCTGCTTTGCAGGCAGATTCTTTACCAGCTGAATCACCAGGGAAGCCAACATTGCCTATTCATTTTAAAGATCTTTCTTGTAATTTCATTTTATACTTAAAACTGATAATAATGTTCAATCAGAATGTGTGCCTTTAATTCCAATCTTTCTATACTCTTAATCACTGTTAATCTGATATGGCTGTAAGTATATTGCTGGCTACTGATATATATATATAACTAATACTGATATATGTGTGTGTATGTGTGTGTGTGTGTGTGTGCACGCATATATACATGGTGTTGGAGAAAACTGATGAGAGACCCTTGGACTGCAAGATCAAACCAGTCCATCCTAAAGGAAATCAACCTTGAATATTCATTGGAAGGACTGATGCTAAAGTAGAAACTCCGATACTTTGGCCACCTAATGCGAAGAGCTGACTCATTGGAAAAGACCCTGATGCTGGGAAAGATTGAGGGCAGGAGGAGAAGGGGACAACAGCGGATGAGATAGTTTGATGGCATCACCGACTCAATGGACATGAGTTTGAGCAAACTGGGAGATGAAGGACAGAGAAGCCTGGAGTGCTGCAGTCCATGGGGTCACAAAGAATTGGACATGACTTAGCAACTGAGTAATAACTAATATTAGAAATGTCATCAATACCTGTACTTTCCACTTCAAAATCCAATAACAGCTTTCAACTGAAAAGCATAATGAATTCACTGAGTGGCAGAGAAGATGAATATTGATTTATAGTTGTAATTACCAAAGGCTCCTAAGATCTACCTCCTTTGAGGCAGTGGAATAATTCTACTTACTACTCTCTACCAGTCTGTTTTTTTTTATTTTT